GAATAATATTATCAAAATAACTGGAGGAACTATGCTGCCTGCCACAGCCCCATCAAATGAAAAAAAACAAAAACGTTTGTTTCTTTGGCACTTGGGGTGGTTATCGTCCATTTATCGTTATCGAGGTTAACTGCTCAATTTATCGTGATATTGATTTTAGGCCATATCGCCCAGCCCTACTACAGACTGAACCTGCAGAATGAACCGCTTTCTCCCACAAGCTGTTAGAATGCTAAACTGCTGCTTAGGACATATACAGTACTACACCCAAGACTGTGTGGCAATGTTTCAACCTTAGTTTTGATTATTTGTCATTCCTACACAGTCACTTTTACCAAACTGGTATTAACCACTGGTTGCTGCTTACAGCCAGTGAGAGACTATTTTACAGCTAGACGTCTTGGGCAGTGTGTGTGTTTGTGAGGTTGTTCAATTGACGTTTGTTTGTGTGTGTTTTTAAAGGTTTGTGTTGACCCTGAGGAAACACGCCTTTATTTTGCCTGCACTTGTCGGACAGCAAATTGAGTTTAACCCTTTAATGACCTCTATCTCATCAACATGATCAATACTTGCCATCATTTCAAAGTGCTATCGACAAAACTCTTTTTTTGGTCTAAAATTAACATTGTTGTTAATTAACAAAAAGTTGTCAAAAACACCCAATGTATCAAATGTGATACAAAAAATATCTAATAAAAACATATCATACACAACATGATATAGCAAAACAAAGTGGATTTTGTTATAAGGGTTATTAAACATCTCAGTTCTTTGATGGGCTGGGTCTCACAGGGTTTCCAGATTATTTGTGTAAGTTTCATGACTCTAAAGTTGTCTTGGAAGGTTGTGATGTGACACTGTGTTCATGAAATCTGTATAAAGGTCTGAGACACAGTACTGAAAACAAGCTTTGCTGTAGTTCGACAGCTCAGCCACTTGATTGTGGTGTGTAATGAGACTTATTTTCACACAGTCATTTGGCGCTGTCACCAAGTGGCAACACTGTAACACAGCAGTTCATTTCCTGTGTATGTAAAGAATTTCAGTATATGTAACTGTAACTAATGTGTTCCTCCCTTTTCTCTCTCACTGTAGGCACTTCCTCTTTAAAACAGGCACAGGCACTACCCCCCTCTTCTCCACAGCTACTCCTGGCTACACTATGGCAACAGGCTCAGTGTACTCCCCTCCTACCAGGCCGTTACCTAGGAATACTCTATCCCGCTCAGCCTTCAAGTTCAAGAAATCCTCCAAGTACTGCTCATGGAGGTAAAATGAATTTTTCACCTTATTGTCCATCAGTAAGAAAGAGTACCTGCAAGCACACGCTTTGACTTTACTCAGAGTTTTAGGAGTTTGGGGAGATGCTGGCAACCAAGCTCGAGTTAGACCACTCCTGGGCCAATTTGGCTACCGGGGTATGTTCTTCAGATGAGTGGGAAAAACACACAGCACACTTTGCATCCTGTCTCTTTCAAGAACTTTCCCAGAGAGCCCAGTAAGAGGCGGTTCTCCCAGATCCACACAACTGAAGTGATTTCTCTTTTGTCCTCATAGAGATCACATTTGATCAGTTTTTGGGTCACTTGATAAATTAAATCAGTATATTTGTGTCGAGAAATAAATGCAAAATATGAAACTGTGTAAAGTGCATGAAAGTCATTTTATTCACAGAAAGAGAGTTCATAGATATTTTTTTGTACTTGATAAGCATCAAATTTATCTTTTTATGCTTTGCTTCAGTAGAGTAGATGTTTATTTAAGTAGAATCAAAGAAAGTGGATCTATAAAACCATCAGCACGAGTGTGGAGCTCTCAGGTTCGAGGTAAACGATTGAAACAACTACAACAGGAGTGACAAGATATGCTGAGCAGAGAATTCATGAATGCTTTCATGTGTTGAGACTTTAAAGTAGAATCTAGAGAACAGCTGACTCTGCTATTTGTTTGCCTACCACAGATTTGTGGCTTATTGTATTGCCTTGGTAACTATTTTAGATCCTTTAACTCTCCTTTTGCAAGTTCCACACAAACCAGAAACACTCGGTGCAGGGCGAAACTCTGATCAGATGTTATCTTCCACAGACATAGAGATGCAGATATATTTTATCGGCAGTGTCCAATGATGCAGATAAAATGACCAATGTTAGGAAGTAGCATGAGGTATTTTGGGAGTGGTCACACAAGGCTTCAAGCTGGAGCTAACGTTTGTTTGCAAAAATAAATACAATCCCCAATAAGATGGTGGGATTGGTAATTAAAATAAATGAGTGCTTCCAAAATTACTCCAGAAAACTGTGACACGTGTTACAACCTGTTTCCTTTGTTTCCTTTTTTCTCAGGTGTACAGCCCTCAGTGCAGTAGGTCTGTCTGTACTGCTGTCTGTCATGCTCTGTTACTGCATCGGTAAGCTAACACACACACACACACACACACACACACACACACACACACACACACACACACACACACTTATAATGCCACTGAATGACAAATGAAATCTTGTATTTGTGTCCACTGTTACTGTGAATTCCTGCCGTCTGTTCAGCGTCTTGATATAAGCCATCCTTGTGCTATTGTTGCTGCATGTGGGGGTTTTCTCTCTGTGGGATGAGCCCGTCAGATAACCAGATAGTTAAGTTATTAAACCCACACTCGGCAGAGACATAATACCAAGACCTGCATAACAGTACAAAAGAATGACTCGTTAAGATCGTCCCCTGACAACATTACAGTTAGGAAATGCAGTATCTGTAAGTATTCATATATTATGTCTGAATTTTCATCTTTAAAAAAA